AACTTATTTAATAACCAAATGTACAAACACGCATCAACGACAAATCATATCTACATTCTCCACATTAGTAATTCTTTCCTTTTAATTTATTTTTAATTTATTTTTGGCAGCCATTTCATCATTCAATTAGATTTAGGTACCTCAAAGAATAATTTAACTAAGTTTGTGTTAAAATAAAAGTGCATCTTTAAATGTACTCTCTAGTATTCTTTTTATCAAAGAATTATTTTAAGTGTGTTTATATACATCAGCACTAATAAAAGATGTACATTTCCAAACATTTAGGTGTTGTAGCTTGTCGTTATGTGCTTTTGTTGAAATCATTCACATACAAAAACGGAATCAAAAGAAAAAATATTACATTTACACCTGTGAGGGCGCTAAATCACATAGTGTTCAAATAAACAATTTTTTTTTAAAAAACTTGAGAAATAAAAATTTTACAATATCAAACTTGAAATACGCAGCATTAGGTAATGACAAATTCTGCAGCTTTTATGAATGACTACAAAAATAAACACTGTATTTGGACACTTTAAAATGTCCCAAAGGAATCTGAGAAATGAGTACGAAAAGCAGAGGTCATGGCAGCTTGCCATTAGTGTGCGTGTTCAAAAAACAACTCTTTTTCTCTCACTATTTCACCTGACCTGCACACCTATTTGTAACTGAATTAAACGAACTAAAGCCTGGTAATGAGTTTCGCTTCATGCTATTAACCGGGCCAATAAATCTTGATCGGTTCGCATCATAAACTTTGTACAGGCAACAAAATCTTAATTCACAGTCTACTATTTTATGACGATCTCCCTGATGGATGATTCCAATTTATGTCCATTTATAGTATATTCTCACACATGACTGTTTCAGACATTTTACGACTCACGACTTGCATCACCCGCAAGGTGTTTTTCGGCTCACTTCATTTGATGATTGGCCAGTTGATAAAAGATCCTATCTTTTTTGTGGAACACCGAGATAGTTGTATATATTATGCAATTCCAGATATATTTAGCTAGCAAATGAAGCCAATACTATCCAGATTGCCCATAAATCTGCATTAGAAGCTGCATTCCCAATAGAAGTGGCACTCATTCATTTTGAACAATTGATAACCAAAAAAACAAAATGGTGGCAAGTAGAAATGTACTCTGAAAGTAAGCCAATGCCTGACTTACCAGCTACTGAGTGACACTAGATATAATCCCAACCACTTATTGTAAAAACTATAGTGTATTTAATTTTCCCCTGTAAGGATTTATTTAACGTGATATTTTTAAGGACATTTGCAATTAAATTATAAGAAAATCACTGATAGGCTAACCTAAAAGACCACCAATGGTCTCCTGCTGCAAAAATACATTGTGTCATTTTAATCTCACAAAATTAGAATTTACAAAACTTTAATTCAAAGAGGAGCAAAATTTAAACCAAATGAACTCGTATTCATATGCAACACAAACATATTCGGATAGTTGCCTTCAGCTCAATAAGCCATTTTCACATATAACACGGCTTCTACAACATTGCCTGCTAGCCTTACAGATTGTAACACCATTCAGTAATACAGTATTAGAGAAATATATAACAGAAATCAGGTATCAAACTTTACAAAAGCTTAATTTTCAGTTTATCTATGCATACAGCAGGACTTGGTACTTTGCTCTACATGTTAATCCCACCAAAAAAAAGAACACGAAAAAAAAAAAAAAATAAGATTTTAATTTTGTTAATATATAAACTTCAGATTTATGAGGGATTATAAGAAACACATGTTCACTTTAATACATCAAATCAAAAATTACCACGCTTAACACTTCTGTTTCCATGGCAACCAAACGCAGACAGCATCCATGGCGCCAGTCTAATGCCCATAGGCTGATTGATGGTATACATGTCAGATATTCTAACTGTACGGTGCTGCCTTTTAAATCAAGTATAATCAATTTATTCACACCTACACCTGAGGTGAAGTCCTCTAAATGTATTTATAATTATACGTAATCAATCGCATCTAGCTGTAACTAACTGCATGATCTACGCTTAAAGTAGTGTGCACGGCATCTTGCGGTGATTTCGTAACCAACTTTCTCACAGGCGAAACATTAGCGACAATTGGAAAAACAAATATAGCTGATTTAATGGAGTCTTCAATTTAAGTATTTCATTCAAATCTATGTTCGGGAACTGATCCTACAGTTTCAAAAAAAAAAAATGATACAGCGAAAACAATGCTGTTTCATGTTTCCATGGAAATGGAGCTAAATATTTGTATATAAAGCAATGAACATCGTCATGCAATTTTTTAGACCAACTTTCTTGATGAGTAGGCTTCTATCTTTACGTTGTATGCTATTCACGTGCATCTGACGTATATAATTATGTGTCGTTTTCGCACCACTTAACAGTAAGCATTCATTTTATCAATTGTGCACATTTTTGAGATAAACTTGACAATCTTGGTCAATTACTACTAAAAGGAAAAAAAACTGTCACAGAATCTTGCTAAAATATAATTTCATGAAAAAAAAAAATCACTAGATCAATGAGTATGTTGTAATTAACATGGCTATATACGGATATTATGTTGAACAACAATCCAAAATACCGAGATATACTACCTACTGTATGTTTATAGTACACTAATTATATACAAACAATTTCAAGATAGTAGAAGATGCTCACTTTGATGAATCTCACAAAAAATTTGATTTCAAAAAAGCAACTATGAAGCAATGGAGCCATAATCTTTTTTCTACTATGAATTACTAGAATTATTTTTATATGATAGATTAATTTATGCAAAGGAAATATTATAATGCGTTGCATGTTGATATGAATGTCAAAATCATTACTCGCACACATACACAAACACATGAATACTACAGCTTGGATGGTTTCTGAAATACAAATCTGACACAAGAGGGCGCTGTCTTACCTCTATCTACGATAATTAGCTGAGCACTAGTCTGTATATTGCCTATATCATTGCTTGCTTTACATTGATACAGGCCTTCGTCCGACTTCACTAGGCCTAGTATTTTAAGATTGGTCCCCTCAACAATTTTGAAATAATCACTCGGTGTGATGGTGTCACCATTTTTTATCCACTCAATGGTTGGGAACGGGACTCCGTACACTTTGCATTCAAAATTGATGTCGCTGTTCACTTCTGCAAATAAACTGGTGGGTTCCTTTTCATATCGCGGTGTAACTGAAATAAACAGGAGTAAAATACAGACATAACATAATATTTTGGCAGATTTTTGCAACTCAACACATAACTACAAATGTATGTTTATATCTCTATGCTTGTGGATTACCATAAAACATATCAACATTTTTTTACATACAGCAATATATAATAAAAAAAAGCAGTTTAAACAATATTCCACTAGAACTCTGAAGAATGTCATCTTGCACATTGTAAACATAATAAAAACCCCCACAAGATAATAATTTACAAAATAATAAAAAATAACTAACTGCTGGACACCTTCCTGTGTTTCATCTTGTACAGGAAGGAAAATGACAAAATCTTTCGAAAAAACACTCGTCTACACAGAATTGAGAACATATCATTTTTAACTATTAATATACAGGAAAAATAACAGTGGTAATATCTAGAATGGTAATTTTCATGATTAATGATAAGAAATGCCAGATGGGAACACTGACAAATTTAATCCTGGAATGTAGTAGCCACAATCTGATTTCAAATACTCTCCTACTCGTCTCCAGTTATTCATACTCAGTTGTTTTTAGGTCGAGCACCTTGACGAGCCTCTTTATCAAATTACCACACCCCCCCCCCCTCCAAAAGTGAATTCAGAATAGGTAACTGTTTTAGTCTCAAAAATATTCTGAAGTAACTGATTCTGTTTGTATATTTTCCAAGTACAGTCAAATTTATAATGGTGAATTTGTCCATTAAACAATATTTTTTTTTTTTTTTTTTTTTTTTACAAATGATTGAGCAGAAATTGACATTTTTAAGTTAAGAGCACCAGCTATCTGAACTGGACTGGACTGTATTTTGTTAAGTAAGAATTTTCATCTGGCGTTTTCTTCTTTTTTTTGGAGACAAAAAACAAAAATCATACTTGCATGAGACAAAAAATTTTTTTCTTCATGCAAACATGTGAATAGTCAAACAACACAATTTGAGTTATAACAGTTTTAATTTTCTATGTCAGTAAAAATTGGTTAATATTCACTGAATCCTAAAGACAGTAGAGTACTTTTTTGAAATGGTCTCAAAGTATGGCGGGTATTGAATTGCAAAAAATCATAGCAGCAAAAAGTTATCACTATGCTTTGCAAAATAATCAATTCCCTGTTATTTCAACCTAAATACGATCATGTACATCGTTTGTAAGTTTGTCATCTAGCAAATTAATCAGTGGTCATGAGCGATTCGTCTTTTGAAATATTTCCATCTTTAAACGAGCGCTTCAATTCATCATAGAGATCAAACATATGCCGCTGTATCCTCATCTTGCGTCTCCGAACAATTATGAAACATTGACTGCAAATAGCAACATCTGAACACTTGTCAAAATCAGCAGTTTCCAAGAAAAAAAAAAAAAATCTAATCCAGCCTCTTAAACAAATGAAATTTACGAGAAATGGTGATGGTGTTACGAGGGCGGAAGCTTGAGGACATGATACGTGCCTCTGAGAGATGACTCAATTCGTGATTTGCGATGGAGCCAGAATGTCTGCATTAACAATGTACACTCAATAATCTGCAGAGTTTAAAGTGATGGTAAATTTGCTCGATGGTTGAGATATTTTACCCTTTCCTTCAGAGAGTAAATTAATTGCCAGTGTCTAATAATACTAATGGAACATGTCTAATTAGAGACCATTCACATCTGTCACTTTCCTGGCTAAAGTTCAAGTAGTGCAATCCAACTATTTTACGACCCAATCCGCTGCTACCACATGCTCTCGCACACCTTAAAACAGTTCTCAAAAAAATATATTTGAAATCAATTCAAGTCTAATTTCTATAAATATGAACATTTTCCAGTATCAGTTAAAAACTATTTTTAATCAAGACTGCAGCTAAATAGATATTTTAGATGATCTAAAATTGGTGGTGTTGTAAATGGTGTTCACAAAGACGTCATCAGAGAATGATCATCACCACAATGGACAGTGTTTAACCACTGAAATGCAAGCACCATACGCTGTATGGTTTTGATGGACAAGGCATTACCGTAACCGAAAATGAAATGTTATTTTCAGAAAATCAAGCTTCAGCTTATTTTTCCCCATTCAACTAAATTTTCTAAAATTACATTGATAAAAGTGTCATAATGCATTAAATTCATGAACTCGTTAAAATATCAAAAAGCATGTGAAAGCATAATGCTTTTGCAACATCAAAATAAATTATCCAGATATCTAATATCGTTGTGAAACTGTCAGTTATTTCTTACTTTATAGTAACCTAGGGCACTTCAAATAAATTAATCGTTGAATAAAGACAAATTACGAAACATTTATATGTGTGCCTCCTTTGCTAAAGTGTGACAACTACTCAACAAAGTCCAGGTCAAGGAGAAGAACAATCATTTTAAGTTAAATGCATCCAATTTATCATTTTCTCAATTTACATACATGCGTCATCAAATTTGTTAACATTTATTTTTGCAATATACTAAACTGTCAGAAAATCTCGCCTCGGGGCAGCTGAACAAGTTCCTGCCAACACACATTGCAAGAAGTACTAAAAATGGGCCGTCTATATTTACCCAAGTATTTTACTTAAATCTTAAAAGAAGCTGCAAGTCAAAAGAATTACGCAAACTTTTGCTTACACAATAAAATCTATTTTTTTTAACAGTAAATTAAATCCTATAAATTATTTTCCCTTAAGACTTACACAAGGTTGCCCCTTTAACACAAACTAAACTGCAAACATACATGTCTCCCTCTAGTGGCAGGTATTGGACATTCAATGAGAATAATTTTTTGATTCACACTTTCATAACTTGACAAATCATACTACAGGGTTGAATCAGGGAGGGAGGGAGGGAGGGA